CCAGGCAGCGTTCATCAAAATCTGCTTTCTTTTAAAACAGTAAATAGTCCAGCCAGTGACGGATGACCTCATCGGCTGGGCAAAAAAAGTATGGCAAGTGAAATCAACCTTGAAATCCAATAAAAATCAATTTTTTGAACAAAACCCGTAAGACAACAATTTTCCTGTTGAGATAAGTGTTTACAGTCCAATGGAAACTGATTTTGAGATACTTTTGAATTTTTGTAGGGTTAAATTCAAAAGTATCACAAAATGTAGGGATGAATTACAAAGATAGAAGAGTGATACTTAGTTTGTATAAAGAGCAACNATAATACAAAATTAGAAAACGTATTTAAAAAACTTCGTCAACATAATTTGAAAATACAGTTAGATAAGTCGGAATTTTTAAGAAAGGAAACTAACTTTTTCGGTCATGTGGTTTCATCGGAGGGGATAAAACCTAACCCTGAAAAAATAAAAGCTATACAAAATTTCCCTGTACCGAAAAATCCTAAACAAATTAAATCCTTTCTTGGCCTTAGTGGGTATTACAGAAAATTTATTCCCAATTATGCGAAACACGCAAAACCTTTGACGTTATTATTAAAAAAGAATGAACCTTTTAATTGGAATAACGACTGTCAAGATTCATTTAAAAAATTAAAAGATTGTCTTTCAACACCACCAATCTTACAATATCCAAATTTCAATGAGTCTTTCATTTTAACTACAGACGCCTCTAAATTTACGATAGGTGCTATACTTTCCCAGGGACCATTAAAGAAGGATTTACCTATAGCTTATGCTTCGAGGACTCTGAATCCAGCAGAAACCCGCTATAGTACAATCGAACGTGAATTGCTTGCCATTCCCGCACGGAAAAAATTATATTTTAGGTATACTTTTGAAATATACGTGTTATACGATTATTATAAAAAAAAGATAGTTCGTATACAAAAATGATAAAAAAAATATATTTCGTATNTTATGTTGAAATAAGGAATGTCACATAAATTGGAATAACCTTTAATTCCTTTATCACAAGCATCAGCATGCAATAGAGTATCTTCATGATTACGAAGCCCGTCTCCATATCCATTTCTTTCTTCATCTACGGGGTATACTCGAACTCTTCCGTTTCCTTTATCAATTAGATAGCCCTTATGAAGGCAATAACTACATCCATAGTTTCCATTATATTGCGTCGAATTTTGAATGAGAGGTCTTCCGACTGAGTCGCACATGCAAATAAGAACTCGACATTTTTTTGTATACAGTCGTCCTTCGCGAGAATATTGGAAACCATTATTATATAAATCTATTGTTTCATTTATAAAAGGTTTGAGAAAGTTATTCATAGATTTCGGCTTCCCTCTGCCGAACCATAGTGCTACCAACTTTATGTTCTGTCCACGTTGTCGAGGTGACAATTCATTCAGCGTGCATAATAATGGATAAATAGAAAAATCTGAATGCTCAAATATTGATGCACCGTCCAGACTAAAGTTGATACTAATCATATTTTGGCTGTTATTTTTTTTGTATGAAGAACCATCAAATATATCTTCAATGGCGTGATTATTAATTTTTTGACGACTATCATAATATAAATCACCATCACGCGATAACTCTAAAATATCACGCAGTTGGTCCTTTAAATTCATGTATATAAAAATATCTCCAGATGCTGTATCAACAGTAGTACTAATAGTTTTGTGACACTCTGTACAATTGAATAATTCTTCAGCATTTCTTACAATTTCGGCATGTGCTCCTATGTAATGTCCACAATGACAGCATAAATGATGAATACTCATTAGCTGTGAGAATCTTGACATGATCTTCTTAAAATAATATTTGGAATTATGTGTAGTTGGTGACTCAGATAAAGCCTCAATTACGTTCATCATAGATTCAGTTGCAGCATAAGTTAAATTATGACGAAGTTTTGATGCAATCACTAATAAAGTTTGGATTAAAACATCCATCGAAAATTCGGAATAACGTAATGGTGAATGTTGGGGTGTTGATGAATCTAAATTTTCACTGAACGAATCTGACATGTTCACATTGTTATTTATTGATGCAGTTTCTTCATCACTTGTAGAATCATTAGATTCATTATCATGAATTGAATTCTCATCTGAAAATACGATGTTTTCCTCATTCTGATGTGATGCATTAGATCGGTTATGATCGTGATTCAAAGAAGTAGAGGCTACATTGTTTACTGGATCAGTTGGTAGCTGTAACATACGAACATTATAAACTTTTTTTATTGAATGTTCAATATTTAAAAGAAATACAAAGTTCGTGTTCAAGAAAAAATACATAGCTAAAAGAGTATACAAAATTTATTACAATGTGCAAGTAAACTGTATTTAAACATTAATATTTTTCGAAAAACATTTCCTCCAGAGGATATTTTTGTTGAAGAAAAAAAATCTATTCGATAGATGCTTGTATACTATTGAATTTGATAATCGTAGACATTTTCTATTTTTTAATTATACACTATCAACTATGAAAAAAATATCAACTTTGGACTATCCATTTAGAATAAAAAGTCTGCTTCTATACCAGAATTCACAATATTAATTTTTCTGTTAATCATACCTCAAATTCATGCATATCAGAAGCATTAAGATCTTCATTAATAACCTCACATTGATCATCATTTCCTGCTAAACTTTCCCTGCAATTTAGATATCAAATTCAGAATGATTGTAATGGCCACATTGTATATTTACGTAACTTTCATCACGTCTCTTTTTTGCGCAATATCTCCTTGTTCTGTCGGGAATAGATTCTGTATTCCCAAATGATTCGTATAATCGGTATGCTCGTCTTCTTCTCGAAACACGGAAAGAATTGGATGAATTCATTACTGACAACAATTTGCACTGTTATATATTACACTTTGATTAAAAATATGATCATGAATCATTACAGTCAACCTTAAAATAAAGTCTTACTTTATTTAGTTAAAACCTCTTTAATTTAATTTTTCTATTAAACAGTGTCCAGTTGAAATTCGCGCTCGCTTTTGTTTTGTGAACGTTAAGGAATTGATAAAGAGAAACAGAGAATGACGGAATTAACCATGGATAGTAGGGCTAACACATCTTGCGCTTTCTTTGTCACTGCGATACTGATCATGCGCAGACGATTTGTTTAGTAATAAGTATACATGTTGAAACGTGCGTATGACGTGCTGAATGCGTAGTTATTCATAACGTTTTTGTATTGTGGATANAACTTCTAAGTCTTATTCTTTGAGACAAGTCCTTGTAGTCAGATTTTGTATTTTTCTCTTTGGAGAGCGATTCGAAGTAATAAAATTTGAGAATATATAAATATTTGAAGAATCACCTACATTTAGGTATGCTCGCGTTTATAGCATGCAAAAGCGATTATGTGTGCGTTTTTTCGAACCAAAAATGTGAATAAACGATTTATGATCGGTTTCGACTGTAAAACGTTGACTATATAAGTATTGATAAAAACATTTAACCACTTAAATTATTGTCAAAGCTTCTCTATTAATTTGAGAATATTTTTTTCTGCTTTTGACAATGCTCTAGAGTCTAGAATCTAGATGTATAAACTGTGGGTATTACTGTATTTTTATCTTAAACATAAGCTAAAACTGCTCCAAATTTAAACGGTAAATACAGATCACAATGAGATAAAGCTTAACGAAATTTAACAATTCATTGTTAGCATAAACAAAATTTGGCCATGAGTCGAGGGGCAAAGGGGCCCAGCGGTACCGAACCCGGGGAAGGTAGTCGAGTGTGGGAGTGGCATTCGATCTCCGATCAGCAACCGATACGTATTAAAAAAAAGAGAAAAACACTGTGAATAAAAAAATATTGAAATATATTTAAGAGTGCGTTTGTTTTTAAAAATAAAAGTTCTTCTAACATCAGGAGTGGGATACAAGATCTTACGTCCAAATCTCAGCAAAAAAAAAGCAGTGTTCATAATGCCAAAATGAAAACACCATTCTTTATCCCGGCGAAGTACTCGCGAGGGCGAGGAAAATCGGCGGCACCGTGAGCGTTCGAAAACCAAGGCGCATCGATCCCGGCATAAATCCCGAAGTTCCAGCGGGAATCGACCAAGGAGCCGATCCCGAGAACCGACTGATATCACGGAATCCGTTTCGCAGTTGGGAAACGCAATTTGCAAAGGCATCAGTCAGTTGGCCGAAAATGTGGGGGTAAGACGAAACACGGAAGTGGTAAGTCAATTAACTTCCAATATTATACAAGAATTTAATCCACTATCACACGATATATCTGAATGGATTGATGCGGTGGATGAATTTTCATATATTTATGGCTGGAATGATAGAACGGTGTGTCATTTGGCATTAAGTAAACTCCGCGGTCCCGCTGAAGTGTGGTACAGAGGCCTTCCCACACGAATTTTTACTTGGCCAGAGTGGAAACAATTATTATTTGAACAATTTCGCCCTAAGCGCGATTTGCATAATGATCTAAAGAATATGATGAATTGTACAGCTAAAAATAATCAGAGTCTCTACGAATATCTTTTTGACAAATTATCTTTAATTCGAAAATAAAATTACCCATTTCCAACGCAGATCAGGTAAATCTAATTTTGGGAGGTATTTCCAATGAGCAAATCAAGTTTACCGTTGAAGCCTCAGGTATTAATGAACCCGCGGAACTAGCTCGTCATTTTAAGACACTTGACGAAAGACGAAGCGAAATTACAACAATTGTGTCAATAACGCAGGCACCAATACTAGGAAAATATTCCGAAACGCAAACCCGCAAAACATCTGACAAGTCCCGATGTTTTAAATGCCATCAAGTAGGACATTTTAAAAGAAATTGTAAACAAATTGCCACCCCATCATCCCGACAACGACCTTCTATTGAATACAATGTTAATTTTGTAGGTTCAGGAACAAACGAAAAATTCTTTAAGAACGCGATTATTAAAAATACGCAAATAAAATGCTACATAGATTTTGGCAGCGAATGCTCACTCATGACGACCGCGATCGCGGACCAGTTATCGTTACAAAAACAAATATGCACCGATAGAGTTACGCTGTTTACTTTAGCGGGAACTGAAATCAAACCAAATCATACCACTATTGCCGAGGTTATTATTGATAACATCAAGCGAACAATTCAATTTTTTGTTATTGACAAGTGTGCAATGGACGTGCAATTATTAATAGGCCAAAATTTCACGGAACTGTATGATATAAATTACAGCAAAATTGGAAACCAGTTGAATTTCACCGAAGTTACAATTAATAAATTGAACGTAAATCTAATAACACAAACCACTCTCAATATCGGAATTAACCATCAAAAACATAACCAACCGCTTATAGATCTTTTGAATAATTATCGCGATTGCATAGCAAACAGTTTAAACGAGTTAGGTGTTACTGAATTAACAAAAATGACCATTACCCTTAGTTCTGAAAAACCAATAGCACGACGACCGCGACAGTTTTCAGACTATGAGCGCGCACAAATACGGGAAATTGTAGGTGAACTACTCCTAAATGGTATAATTCGCGAATCTTGCAGTCCATACGCAGCTCAAGTTTTACTAGTAACCAAAAAAACTGGTGAGAAACGTCTTTGCATTGATTATAGGGCGTTAAACAAAATTACCGTACCTGAAATATACCCCCTACCTCTCATTGAGGAACAATTACGTCGTCTATCAGGTCATCAGTATTTTACCAGCCTTGGTTTATTTTCCGGATATTACCACATACCAATGGCAACCGAATCAATACCTTAACGGCCTTTATCACTCAGGACGATCATTATGAGTTCTTAAGAGTACCCTTCGGCCTTACGAACGCTCCTGCAGTTTTTCAGCGAACCCTTAACACCGCTTTAGGTAGTCTACGATTTAATAAGGTTTTAGTATATATTTTAGTTTTAGATGATGTACTCATCCCAGCGAAAACAATAACTGAATCTCTCAGTATCCTGCGAGAAGTCCTGGACTTGTTCAGGAAAAACGGGTTTACATTAAATTTAAAAAAATGCTTCTTCCTGCAAAAAACAGTAACTTATCTCGGGTACGAAATCAATAATTCCAGTGTCCGCCCTTCTGATCGAAAGGTAGACGCTGTAGCACAATTTCCGACACCCCGAAATATTCACCAAGTGCGCCAATTTTTAGGTCTTACCGGATACTTTCGGAAGTTTATTCGGGAATATGCTTTAAAGTCGAGACCTCTGAGTGGCCTGTTGAAAAAGGATGCCGAGTGGACAAGGGGGGGGGCACAAATAAAAGCCTTCCATATATTAAAAGAAAGTTTAACTTCCTCACCGGTATTGGCCCTGTTCGACCCAGGAAAGTCTATAAAATTATACACCGATGCTAGTCGGTGGGGTCTGGGTGGAATATTGGTGCAGGAACATGAAACCGGGGAAAAGGCGGTAGCATATTATAGTCGGCAGACCACTCTTGACGAGCAGAAATTTCATTCATTTGAGCTAGAGACGTTGGCTATAGTAACAGCCGTCAAACGCTTCCGACAGTATCTTTTGGGGAGACCTTTTACTGTAATCACTGACTGTACCGCTGTAAAACAGGCTTTTGACAAACAAGAAGTTAACGCCCGTATAGGCCGATGGGTATTAACCCTTACCGAATACACTTTCACAATCGTACACCGTCAGGGTGAACGCATGAAACATGCGGACGCATTAAGCCGAAATCCTCCAACCCACAAACATGCCATTAACGTGGTGGTCATCTCGGAAAGTGACTGGTTGCTGGCCGCACAAGCACAAGATCGGCAAATTCAGAAAATCAAAAATATTCTAAATTCCGGAAATTTTCAGACCAACAAACAAATTTTTCACAATTACGCTCTGAAGGGAGGTAGGGTGTATAAAATTACAAATTACGGATTGCGATGGGTAGCACCGAAATATGTGTGTTTTCAAATCATGCGGTTAGTACCTACATGACGATGTAGGACACTTCGGATTTGAGAAGACTTATAAATTGCTATCCAGCCAATATTGGTTTAAAAACATGCGACGGTTCACAAAAAAGTACGTAAAAAACTGCCTTAATTGTCTCTATTTCAAATCGTCCACCGGAAAACTGCCGGGATATCTATATCCAATTAAGAAAATTCCACGACTATTTCACACAATCCATTTAGACTATTTAGGTCCCTTTGTTAAGTCTAAGTCAGGAAACTCACAAGTACTTGTTATCATCGACTCATTCACTAAATTCATTATTATCTATGCCGTTAAAAACACCACAACAAAGTCTACAATACGATGTCTGAATGATTTAATCAAAACATTTGGCGCCCCACGAAGAATGGTAAGCGACCAAGGCAGATCATTTACTAGTTCTGAATTCCAAAATTTCTGCCGAGAAATCGGTACCATTCACCATTTAACCGCTGTGGCTCTTCATCGGGGTAATGGTCAGGTGGAAAAATACAATAAAATCATATTAGAATCACTAGCCACAATGGGCGCGAATTTAGATAATAAAAGTTGGGACAAAAACATACCACGGATACAATTAGGGTTGAATGCCACAATAAATAAAGCCATAGGGGTCACACCCAGTGAAGCTCTAATGGGGTACAGAGTCTTGTTACAGGGTAACATGCCACCAGATGAGTCGGAAGGTCTGGATGTCACGAAGATCAGGTGCGACATGGAGGAATTGATAGATAAACATCAGAAGGAAATGAAACAGAGGTTCGACCGTGGTCGCATGGCACCACATGAGTACCATGAGGGTGATTTGGTCCTGCTACGCGTTACTAGCACCCCAGCAACTGGAAGTAGTCGCAAACTTCTGCCAAAGTGGCGAGGTCCATTCCGTGTGACAAAGGCATTGGGACGGGACCGATACGAGGTATCAGATATCCCAGGGAGCACACGCTCAAGGGTGCGATATTCGGGGGTAGCCGGGGTAGAAAACATGAGGCCCTGGATCCGAATATCGCCGGCATAAGGGTTGTAAGTCCCTTATGGAAGGATGCATTGCGGATATGAACTCCCAAGGTAACGAAGGTTAGTCATTATCGTGTTAGGTAGGGAGGGGGGGGTTCATGCGTGCATACCTTGGTCACTGGTAAGCGCCGGGCTAGGTGACATTAGAATTATTTCGTCCAGCATTGAGTGAATATGTATACTGTCGTTTATAATATATATATTTTTAGGTTGAACTTGGCCAAGTTTAATCCAAAATTTTAGGTATAGGTCCAGTCAGGAGAAACAACGTGATCCAGAAACCCTAATCTCGGTGCTCTATCTTACGATCACTGTTGATAACTATTGTCAAATTTCAGAACTAAAAGATTCAAGCGCCTGAATTACCCTACAAGGAGACATTCCACTCCATTCAGTCGAGCGAGGACGCTCTGTACCTGTCAGGAAGGGCCGTGTTAGCATAAACAAAATTTGGCCATGAGTCGAGGGGCAAAGGGGCCCAGCGGTACCGAACCCGGGGAAGGTAGTCGAGCGTGGGAGTGGCATTCGATCTCCGATCAGCAACCAATACGCATTTAAAAAAAAAGAGAAACCCGCTGTGAATAAAAGATATTGAAATATATTTAAGAGTGCGTTTGTTTTAAAAATAAAAGTTCTTCTAACACACCTTAAATATAAAACAATAAAAAATTACCACGAATCACCAACTAATGCTCATAAGGGTATTAACGAAACTTATCTAAAATTGAAAGATAAATACTTTTGACCTAATTTAAAGCAGGATGTATCAGACGTAGTAAACTGTTGCGAATTTTGCAAACGAAATAAGATAGATAGATTAAATCATAATATACCTATGATCATAACACAAACACCGAATACCATATTTGATCGTGTTGATATAGATGTATGTACAATAAAAGGTGGTTCAAATAAAAGAAATTGTCTAGTATTTTAGGACCAACTCTCTAAATTTATTCAACTTTATCCTAGTGTAGAGCCCGTTAATGGTGAATTTGTTAGGGACAAATTGTTTCAATTTGCTTCAGCTTTTTCTTTTCCTAAACGGATCCACTCGGACTCTGGTACTGAATTTGTTAATAAGACTGTTTCAAAATGGTTGGTAGATTTAAAAATTAAACACACTAGATCGGCTATATATCACCCTTAATCTAACGGCGCAATTGAGAGGGCGATCGCTACAATAAAAGAAACAGGCAATACTCTTTACGACCAATACAAAAAGAAAATACCATTTGAGTGTTTATTACAAATGGCAGTTCATTCATACAATACATCGGTAAATTCAACAAATAAGTTTACACCTTTCGAACTTTTGTTTGGAATTAAACCTCCTAATTTGCTTGTTGAGTCTGAAGAAAATCGGAACGAGGGCGATAAAGCTGATTTAGTAGAAAGGTTATGAAAAGAAGCAAAATTAAATCAAAATGAATCAAAAAACAAAGCAAAAGTAAGACATGATAGGAGTGCTTCCAAAATAATACCTAGACTACAGATTAATGATAAGGTTTTTATAAAAAAAATAATCGGTAGGAAGTTTAAATGGGACGGTCCTTATACTATTGTTGACATAATTAATGACAGAAATTACAAAGTTCGTACAAAAAATACTAGGGAACCGATACAAACTATTAATATAGAACAGTTACGCTTACTAAAACAAATTAAATTATTGCAGGTCGCTGACCTCGATTTCCATAGCGGACCCCATTCACCTGGAAGAAATTAATTCTAATGTAGGTCTGTATGCCCAACCTTTAGGAATATTGCGCGAGATAAGCTCAGAATGGACAGTAGTAATAATAAAAGATATTAAACCCCTTTTTGAAACAATATCACAGACTCGCATTTTATTGTCAAAATTGAAAAACATAGAAACTAATATGGACATTCACTTCAGCCATACTATACTATTACAGGCTAGTTTAGATAGTTTAGAAAGAGATTTGAATGTAGCCAAATCCACGCTTCCGTTGTCGCGGAGAAAACGCGGTTGGTTTAACATTTTTGGTTCTGGTCTCCATGCTCTGTTTGGTGTTATGGATGCAAATGATGAGGTTAGAATAGGAGAAATTTTAGATAAAGTTCAAAGTACAAACAAGAAAACGTTATCTTTCGTTGATGAATCTCTAAGTATCATTAAGGACACAATACGTGATTTTAACGAAACCCTTGGCTCACTTCACATCAATGAAAGGATCATCAATAAAAATTTTGATAAAATTTCAAATCAACTAAAAAATAACACATTACAAATTAATAAGACTGAAAAACGGGTGAAAAGCTTAAATCTTGCGTTAGTTATATCCGAAATTATTCAGGAATTAGAGCATGATATAAATGATATAAAACATTATTTCTTGTTTACCAAACTCAAGCTTTTGCCACCTGAATTGATAGAAACTAGTGAATTTCTTAAAGAATTTAACAACTTATTTAATCAGCTGAAGGACAGGGAATTGCTGTTTGAACCAACAGTAAATAATATTTCAAAATTTTTACAGATATGCACGTCGAAGGTTTCTGTAAGAGATTACTCTATAATTTTCAAGTTGAAATACCGTTATTAACAAGAAATAAATTTAATCTTTATAAACTATATCCAATTCCCGTTCCTTCGAAATTTTTGAATGATCACTTTAATATCATACTTCTAAATTCTGTTTACTTGGCGGTTGATGAAGGTAAATCTCTCTATTCTAAATTGCATTTTACATCAGATCTGATTATGGTAGATGATATTTATTTGAGTAAAAGTTTAGAAGTTTTTTCTGTTTCTGATAATCCTTCCTGTGAGGTTGAGTTGCTCATAAAAAAGAAATGGACTGATTTGTGTGATCGGCTGATGGCACCCTTGGTGGAAGAGACGGCAATAAGATTGGAGGCAAATCGATGGCTTCTGTTACTGACAACCCCTCTAAATACAAAAACATAAAAGTACACCTATACCTGTCCCGGTAGTGGTATCCGAACTACGATGGTTTACCGAAATTCCATTCTGACTCTATCGCCTAGTTGTAATGGATATTTATCAAATGGATTAAGAATAAATGGTGAAAAGAATCGAACGTCCACGATCAACATTACTGCCGAGGAAGTACCAATCGAGGCTGATTGTTGTTTGGAAAAAGAAGAAAAGGCTAAAACTCTAGAATTAACTCCGATTAAAATGTCTAACTTGAATCAGGAGGAGTTAATGTTAAATCATCATCGTCTGGAACAATTAGAAAACAAAGTTCATTCTGAAGA